GCACCCACACCTGCATCTCCATCTATACCTGCACCTGCACCCACACCTGCACCTCCGTGTATACCTGCACCTGCACCCACACCTGCACCCACACCCGCACCTGCACCCACACCTGCACCCGCACCTGCACCTCCATGTATACCTGCACCCGCACCCGCACCTGCACCCACACCTGCACCTCCGTCTATACCTCACTCACACCTGCACCCACACCTGCACCTCCATCTATACCTGCACCTGCACCCACACGTGCACCTCCGTGTATACCTGCACCTGCACCCACACCTGCACCCAAACCTGCACCCACACCTGCACCTCCATGTATACCTGCGCCTGCACCCACACCCGCACCTTCATCTATACCTGCACCCACACCTACATTTCCACTCTGCTTTCAGTAGGCTGGCTGTGTTAAGTGCTACAAAGACAATGAAGCAGGGAGAAAAGAGGGGCAGGAGATGCTCTTTTAGGCTTTGAAACATGCATCTGGTGGGCAGCATTCACCCATCTTCCTTTCATCTACTGGGACCATGTGTGTGGTGGCTGGAGCTCTAGCCCCTCTGTGTTTGGTGTCGCACTGAGCTTGTCTCTGACCTCATTTCTTTCTGCCGTCCCTTCTGCTTCCTGATGCTCTTTCCTTGCCTTCCCTGAGCTAATTTTTAGAATCCTGCCCCACTTCCTTCACTGGCTTCTTCGTTTCTCCACTGTGGGTCCTGGGGCGGCGGGTTGCTCAAGGCAAGAGCTAGTAATACGGGTCCTCAGGCAGCAAAGTCCACGTGGGCCAGTTGTGCACCCCTCCCCACGTCCCGATGGTGGAGCCCTGCAGTGCTTCTCCCCGCTCACTGCACCCACTGCCTTGGCGCTGTTGTGGTCATGGGTTTCACGTCTGGACGTGGTGTGGTGATTCTTACGTATGAACAGATCTGCCTCACCTTGCAGTGCTGTCATCTGGTCTCACAGCCAGTGGTTTTGTTTGTTTTTAAGAAAATTACAGAGGAAAATAGTAGTTTCTCATGTTTACCTACTTTGCTGATCCCACTGGCTCTTCTTTCCTTCGCACACATCCAAGTTCCCACCTGCTTTATTTCACCCTAAAGACTGTCCTGCAGGTGAAGAACTCTTGTTGATCTGAAACTGACTTTACCTCACTCTCATCTTTGAAGACTATTGTCACTGGTTATTGGATTCTGGGTTTACAGATTTTATCTTCTTTAAACACTTTGAAGAGGCTGTTTTATTTCTTCTGGCTGTCATAGTTCCTGATAAAAGGGTGCACTGTTTTCAGCGTCGTTCTGCCATTTGCTACACGCCTTTCTGCTCCTTTCCGTTTTCGGAGTTCTGATTGTGGTATTCCCCGGAGCCTTTAAAAACTCCTACTTGGGTCTACTGAAATGCTCAGACATGTGACAGGGCCTCTCATCAGAAATTATTAGCTGTTATCTGTTCATCCTCGATCTCTGCCTCCTGGGACTTGAGCTCACACGTGTCCTGAATATGGCCCGCTGGTTCCAAGCCTCTGCTCATTTTAAAAATCTTGTTCAATCTGTTCTTCCAGTGGATGACTTCTAGGATTGCTGGCTCTTCCTCCCCCTGTTTCCAGCCTACTGTGAGCTCCAAGCAGGAGCTTTCCAACTTCAAATATTCCGGTTTCGAGCTCTAGTGTCTCCAGTTTCTGCGGGTTCTCCTCTCCTGAGATTCCATATCTGTTCTGTCCTTAGTATTGTCTTCCTTCAGGTTTTTGAATACATTTATATTTGTATTTTAATATAGGCGTTGAAGGATTTATCTGGTAAACCCAACATCTGGCCCTTCCCATATCCTGACTGTGGGTCACACTTTTCTCTTTCCTTGCACATCTAGTGTTATTTGTTGTGTGCTGGACATTGTGGGTGATGCACTATGGAGTGCTTGGCTTCTGCCATCTTCTTTGGAGAAGCGTTCGTTTTTGTTGTAGTAGGTGTTGAGTTAAGCATGTCTGGTGATGGACAGCCTCCGGCACTGCGGAGCCCCTCACTCCATCCTCCTGTGACTCCTACTGCCCAGGCTGAGCTCCGATCTCGCCTCCCTGGCTCAGCGGCCCCGTGCTCTGCCAGCTTGTTCCTGACGCGGGCTGTCCCTCTGTGTAGCCCCCATGCTGTGCGTGTGCTCGGTCAGCCCTGGACGGGTCTCCCACTGTGGGGTCTGGGCGCATGCTGCCCAGAGGAGCATCATTCAGGGCAGGGCCTGCCCCAGAAACGTGGCCCATTCTGGGCAGAGGCTGCGAACCTGGTTCCCTGACAAGGCGCTTGGACCTCACCCCGGCACTAACCAGGGACCCCTCACGGGCGTGGGTGGAGCCACAGGCGCTCCTGCGTCCTCGTCCCTGAGGTCACAGGCATACCACGCGGCATTTACGCCTCCGTCTGCGCTCAGCCAGTTCAAGGGTCCTGCAAAACTTGCGTTCGGCCGAATTTGTCGGATTTGCTAATGCTGGTGTCCCAGGGCAGTGGCTGTGATGTGGGGTCTCTGCCTGTTGCGGGTGGAGAAGCTCTGAGGATACTCCAGTGACACGTGCAGATGCTTGCAGAGGCCCAGCCAGAGAAGCAGCCAGGCAGGGGTGAGGGCCCGTGGGACGTGGTGGCCGTTCTGAGTGGGGGGTGTTCCTCAGCTGCCAAGACCAGAGCAGGGCCCCATCCTGGGGGGCAAAGAGCAGGCTTCTGGCGGCGGCGGCGGGCAGCAGTGGGGCATGGTGGGTAGGACAGCACCTACGGACAGAGGTGGTGGCAGCAGCATCGCAAGCTTCCCGTGTCCGCTGAGCCCTCCACCCAGCAGGTCTCACTGGCACGGCCCCCAGTCTGCTGACCTGCTGCTTCTCAGCCCCAGAGCCCAGGTCCCAGCTGCTCTGCAGGGACCTCCCTGCTCGTCCCCCCGTGTGAGTCCTCCGGGCAAAGCCGGGCGGGAGCTGAAGGATGCTGGGAAGCCCAGGCGCCGGGAGGGTCTCACAGGAAGCCAGCATGCCCCGGGCCTGAGTCACACCGTGCTGTCCCTCCCCAGCCTCATGGTCCTGCTCCGTTGCCAAGTGCACATGGAGATGGCGCACATCGAGGAGGACGAGGACCGGCTGGAGCCGGCCATGCAGCACCTGCAGAAGGCCATGCTCCTGGACAGCCTCGGCCTCTACCGGGATAAGCTCACCATGGCCTTGAACCGGCTGCACCTTTGTACCATGCTGTACCAGGCCCCTGAGCGTGCTGAGGACAAGGCCATCATGGCCATTGAGCAGGTGCCATCGTGGCCTCTGCAGGGTCGCCCAGGGCCTGGGGGCCTGCAAACAGCCCGGGACAGGGTCGCTTTAGATGACGTAATAGCCCGCTCATCATACCACCTCTTCCTGTTGCAGGCAAAAAAAGCTATCCCAAAAGATAGCGTCAGGAAGAAGCGGGCTCTCCTGGTGAATGCAGGCCTGGCGCTAGCCCCCGACACCTTCCAAATTGTGCTCGACAGTGAGAACGAGGCCAAAGGTACACACTGCCCTCACTCCTGGAGCCCAGCATGTTTCTGCTCAGGAGCCGCCCTGGCATGTGGGGGCCATGCTGTGCTCCGCACCTGCCTGTCCAGGCCTTGATGTGCATGCGGTCTGGGGCTCTGAAAAAGCCAGGCTGGGTCTCAGCTCGGCCACTGTCACCAAGGAGCTCCTTCACAGCAGGACCGACCAGGCGGGCTGCAGGCCCGGGGTCCAGATGAGGTGTCAGCAGGGCTAGGAGCTCCCCCTGAGGTCGGGTGGAGGGCGGCTCCAGCCCCCTTTGGCTTGCAGATGGCAGTCTTCTCCGTGTCTTCACACCATCTTCCCTCTGTACCTGTTTCTCTGGGTCCAGAGTTCCTCCTTTTTAAGGACATCCGTCATAACAGATTAGGGCCCACCCTAATGATCTCATTTTAACTTGATTGCCCCTGTAAAGACACAAATAAGGTCACATTTGGAGGTTCTGGAGGTTAGGGCTTCATCGTACCTTTTGGGGCGCACAGTTCTGCCCATATCACTGATCTGCCCAGCGCATCACGTCCTGTGGACAGCAGGTCTGTGCCCGGCCGGGGAACCCCACCCAAGGCTGCCCCAAGACTTTGCTCTCCCAGTTGTCATGCCCCAGCGGCGGGAGAGGCCCGCTCTGGGATATGGTCCTCTGCTGGCCGTGGGGCTCCTCTGGGGTGTGCTCATGCCACCTTGGGTTTCCACCTCACCCCCGCAAGGGTAGGGCTGTGTCGGCAGACCTGACATGCTCTGATCAGCCAGCGTTTTGCCGGCCTGCCAATAATCCAGCCGGAGGAGGCCCTGCGGCCCTGCATGGAGAGGGCTTTAGGGGGCTCCGAGGGCTGGCTCCCCAGGGCTGGCGTGTTGGCTGAGGGGGATTGGCATGTGCTGCCACCCTGTACCGATGTGCCAGGCATCCCAGCGCTCAGGGAGCCCGAGCTCTCGAAGTTTGGGCTCCATGCACCAGAAGGAGCCTCCACCACCGAGCAGATCAAAGGGCCAGGCCATGAGGGTGGTGGGTGGGGGGTGTCGGGCAGGGGCCGGTGTGAGGGAGAGCCCACCAGAGAGGCTCCACCAGAGCCAGCAGAGCCGGGCTGCTGCAGGAGGCGGCCATGCCCACGGCCCCCGGTCCCCGGGACACAGACACAGCTTCTCCCAGTCCTGGGGTCCCTTACCGTTCCGACGTCAGCCTGGCATTTCCATTGCCACCCTCAGTTTCCATGGGGAAATCCAGGGGCCGGTTCACCTACCTGTTTGCCAAGGCGCGGCACCACATGATCAGCGTGGACAAAGCTGCCGGGCATCTGCGGCGTCTGGGGAATGAGAATGACAAGGAGAGGTGGGTGAGGAGGCGCAGCCCCGCGGGCACCCGGCGCCAGCGCCCTGGAGGGAGGCGCGTGGGGCCCCCCACGTGGAGCCACCGGTGCCCCCTCGGGCAGTGGCAGCAGCTCTGGGAGCTTCCTGACCTCTCGCCCCTCGCGTGCTGCCCTCCTCGCTGGCTGGTGAGCAGAATCCAGATCTGGGCGGAGCTCGCCAAAGTCGCCCGGAGGCAAGGCGTGTGGGATGTGTGCCGGGCAGCGAGCCGCTTCTGTCTCCTGTATGACAACGTGAAGGTGAAGAAGCTGGTGCGGCCGAAGAAAGGTACCAGGGCCCCCACCCGCGCGCCAGCCGGACACTGCTCGGGCTTCGCGCCTTCTCTGAAGCCCGGAGCTGAGAGGCCGCGGAGCTGCGGGCAGCAGCTGGGCAGGGGCTCTCAGCGCAGGGTGGCCAGTGGGACAGGCTCCCAGTGGAGGCCGCGGTGCGGGTCAGTGCATCTCTGCTGGGACCCAGCTCACCGTGACCCATCGGGCCCTCCGTGCAGCTGTCTCACCCTTGACTGCTGGCTCGGGTCACTCGAGGTCATCAGGGGCTCAGAAAGGGGAAGGCACCTGCTATGAGCAAGAGAACCCAGACCGCTGGGCTGGGAGCCTGGGGGCAGAGGGCAGAGGGCAGGGGTGACCGTGGCCGAGCGTGGCCAGGCGGCCTTCTCGGGAGTGTGGGGGGCAGCTCCCCGGAGGAGTTCCGGTCTAGTGGACAGTTAGGACACAGGGATGTGCCCGGGGTCCCAGATGGCCGGGGACGTGGGTGCCGCAGGCTCCATGGGGCTGGGGGCTTCTCGAGTGGCAGAACTGCACGAGCAGAACCAAGAATGTGTTGTCGGAGTGCCCGAGCCACCCCCCCTCAGGGGAGCCTAGCCCACTGGGGAGTTTTCCTCCGGCCCCTTCCTGGGCCAGGAATCCTTGTATTTTGTTTGCTAGAAAAGACGAGCATGTCAGACCGAGGCTAGAGCGCGACCCTTTCCCTCAGGAAAGAAGAAGAAGGGTGGAGACAGCCAGGCCCAGGACGCCTGGGGCCAGTCGGAGGTCACCCTGCAGAGGCAGGTGTCCCCCACCCTGCTCCGGAAGTTCGCGGAGGTGGGGTTCATCAGTGCAGAGGTGCGTCCCTGCTCCGCGGCGTCATGGGTGTGCCCTCAGCCGGGCGCCTGCAGCTCCCCCCAAAGACGGTCTCCCGAAACGGCAGTGCAGAGGAGGGCCGTTTTCCTGGGTTCACAAACGTATTGTGATTATGTGTCAATACCTGTTTTTCCTTAGAAATCATTGCTCAATCTGGCACCCAAAGTTCTGGAGGTACTAACGTGACGGTTGCATTTTGGGGGTGTTTGCTTCAACCGCACTTTGAGTGAGGTGTGCGTGTTGTGTCTACTCCCGTCAGAGGTGGGCCGGCCTTGCCAGGGTTCACCGTTGCCTCCCGCAGTGGGCACACGGGGGCCCCAGGGTCAGCGCTGGGGCCGCGGGGCTGAGCTCTCCGCACGCCACCCACACCTGCACCCAGGGAGGCGATCCGTGGTGACATCTTGTCACTCCACCATCGTTGGGGCCACTGTGGCCTGTTTGTCTTGGCGTCAGTGGGGCTAGAGCCTCTGATGGAGTCTGTGCCGTGAGCTGGGGACACGGTGACGACGGGGCCGAGCCTGGTGCTGGGGAGCAGACAGCCGGTGGTGGCAGGGCCGTCCACCCTCCCACCCCCCGTGTGCGGCCCCTCCGCCCATGCTGGTGCCCTCAGCCGCCGTCAGTATCTCCGCGCACTTGCGGAGTGGCCGGGGGGCGGGGGACAGACGCCCAGAAGGGACTGTGTCCGAGCAATGGCGTGAGCGGGACTGTGCCCTTAGAACGGGCCTTCTCTTCCTGAGTGTTTATGGGCAGGTGGGGGGCAGGGAGGACACTCTGAGAAGACCATGGGGTTCATCACAGGGTCTGCCCATGCCCCTGACCGCTCCTGCCGCATACTTCCTCTGCAGGCCACTGTCCAGTTGCTGCGCTCAGAAGGCGTGGAGCTAAATAACCATCCGCACCCGCCGGAGGACCTGAGCCAGCACTCGGCCGGCTACACGGTCGAGTCCCCGGAGGACAGCGCGCAGTGGATCACGTACCAGTAGGTGGCCTGACAGGGCCCGGGCATCCCCAGCAGCTGCGGGCCCGGCTTGTCCACGGAGTGCGGGCTGGGTGGCCAGGGGCGTCAGGGCCCAGACCCAGGGTGGCTGCGCCCGGACCACGTGTGTGGCTTGTGTTGCGTGTGACACATGTGGGTCCTCCCAGTTAGTGTGTTATTAGAACAGGAGAGCAGGGGACGGTCTTCGTGGCGGGAGTGTGGAGGAGGGGCGGCTCTGCTCACAGGAGGGGCTGTGATCCGCTCTCCCCATGGAACCGGCCCACGTGTCTGGGCCTCCGTCATCCTGAGTGTGGATGGGAAGGAGCACTTTGTGTGGGACCGCCCAGAAGACGTGCCACGTGAACCACCACAGAAACAGGCACGAGTTCGAGGAGCGGTGTTAACGTGATGGGTTTTAGTCGTCTTTGATTTAAAACTAAGTATTTTAAAAAGGGAACATGGTAACGAGTGGCTACCCATACATCTCACAGGAACCATCGACCCTCCCAACTGCTCACTCGTTAAGGGGGGCGGTGAGCCGCTTTCCCTGTCGGTTCCACCAGTCAACAGGCTCTTGGCCACCGCCCGCTCCCATGGAGGGTGGCACATTCGTTTAGCGCACATAACGTTTGTCTCGGTGTTTGTTACGTGGACGGGTGTCTTTGCCTCAGTCCTCGGAGCGTCGCACGGAGCACAGCCCAGGCCTCTGCCCCCGGGAGCCTGCAGCCACGTGGCGGGGCATGCCAGGCCTGCTGGGGGCCCTGTCTGCAAGTAGCGGAGGTTCAGTTAACCACAGCCCAGGCCATACCTGACCCACTGATGCTTCTGTATGGCCCACACGCTAAGAGTGGTTTTGACATATGAAAAATTTGTAAAATAAAAAGGAGAAAAATGTGCCACAGAGACTACCTGTGGCTCACGAAGCCTAGAATACTTGCTGTTTGGCCCTTTACCGAAAAGGTGTTAGGAACATGGGTCCAAGAGAATGGGCCGCCCTGCGGGGGCGAGGGTGAGGCTGCAGAGGGGACAGGCGGCCAGCAGCCGGGGGCCCGGAGGGAGGTTTGCGGGCCAGGCACAGAGTGGGAGGGTGTGATCTGCGTGTGTGGAACTCAAGGCCGAGGGAGGACGTCCAGCTGGGGGACGGGATGCCAGGCAGAGCTGGACCCCAGGAGGGAACGCGGTGGGTCCAGCAGGCAGCCCCAGCAGGGGCACCTTTCTGACCCCAGACGCCGCAGACAGCTGGGCCATCGGCAGATGTCATGCTGGCCATTCAAGAAGGGTCCTGTTGCAAAGGAAGAGCCTGACGGGGTGCGTTGTGGCGCAGGACCTGGATCGAGAGTCTGTCGCAGAGCGCCATGCACAGCTGGTTGCGGTCCGCCGAGATCGGACAGGAGATCCAGGAGGGCTGGATCGTGCAGAACGCCGTGGTCTACGTCCTGAACCACAACCACCACCTCATCGTGGCCGGGAGGCAGAAGGAGCTTGTGGACACCCTGGACCACCTGCTGAGCATCGTCAAGGCCACAGGCCACAGCGGGTAGGTGTGGCTGGCGGGCACTGCGTGCACTCCTGGCCTCCCGGGCTGGCTCCATCCTGATGCCCCGAGAGACCTCGATTCAGGCCTGGGAACTGTGGGGTCGCACGAGGGTCCGCTGTGGGGGTGCTGCCCCGGGACCCGCCCCCCGCCACCCTCCTCCTTCCGCTGAATGGCCGGGCCGCTGTTGGCTGGTGTGTGGTGGTGACAGGGACGCGGGGAAACCTGTGGGGATGCAGGGAGGGCTGCTCAAGCATCCCCAAGCAGACGCTCGCCCTCGCCCGCACGCAGCCCCCCTCGGCCCCCGCAGCGCCCCGCACAGATTCCTGCCGGCCTCACTCTGTTCCAGACAGAAGGATTTTGAGGACTGTTTGCTGAGACCCAAGTCCCTTGGGAAAATGGAAGGAAAGAGCAACCCCATCTACGAATCTCACTCTCGTTTTGGAGAGGGTTGAAAATCTGCATCTGTGCTTTCTTATCCAGGTGGATGTGAGCCTTTGAGCTAAAATTAAACATTTGAAACCATCAAGTTGGGTTAAAGTTTGCCTGACAAGGATGACATTTCAGAACTCTCCTTTGTTGTTGTTGGTTTGGCTTTTAGTCTGAGCAATAAGATTTTAGATTTTTGCATCATATACTGAGGTAGAGACATCGCAGTGGGTCGGAATGTAGCAATGCATGTGTGGATTTTTGTAAGTGACAAACAACAAAAATGGACCACGAGATCCAGAACTGCTCAGCAGGCCCCACGGACGCCCCTCTGACTCGAGCGCCTGCTGGGACCCCGTGGACACCAGTGTGTCCCCCGTGGCAACTCCCCTGCAAATTGCCATTGTGGATGGGGATCAGACTTTGAGTCCCTGATTCTTGACACATGGAGACCATTTTCGACCATTTTTACCGACCCATGGGCAAGCCTGAGGCATGAGTAAGGCCAGACAGGCAGATGCCCCAGAGCGGGCACAGAGGCCAGGAGGGTCTCTCTGTCCAGCCCCCAGCGACGCCCTGAGGAGCCCGCCCACCTGGCACGGGGTGGCTGGGGGCGCCCTCTGTGTGAAGGCCACCTGTGGCGGGGGACTGAAGCGTCCCCAGTGCAGCCCTCATCACAGCCAGTGTCCCCTGGACGGTCTGAGAACAGCTCCATGAACCGGGGCCGGAACCACGGGCGTCTGTGTGTTTTGTCCCAGCAAGACGGGAGCCGGGACTGCTGAGGTCCGCGCGTCTGCCTCTGCTTGAGTCTGTGCGTGTGACTGTGTTCTCACCACCGGTGCGTTGCTTTCCAGAGACCCCACCATGTTGGTGATGCTCTGCAATGCGTTGGCTCGAGGCTTGATTCTTAACTGGATTCCGGCCCAAGTGCCAGAAAAATCCAAAAGACCCATGCGCTCGAACCTGTTTCACATACCACTGGACTCGGTAGCCAGCTCTGAAGTCAGGACTGCGGTGGAGGTACGACCCCCACCCCGCGCGAGGCCAGGAGACCCTCACTCAATTAGTGGAGGCGACAGATGGCAGAGCAGTTAGGAGGTGGGGTTTCCACGGCCAGGAAATGGGGTGCAGGGCAAGGAGGGGTGGGAAACGTGCAGTTCTCTAAAAATAAGGAAACAGGAGAGCCCTGGACGTTCTCGGGGAGGCTGCGGGTCACCGGCTGTAGGTGGGGGTCAGGCCACCCGGCCTCAGGGCTGGAGCCTACTTAAACCACCGATGTGGTCTGGCCAGGAGCCATGTCTACTGATTCTTAATCATTTGGGTCTCGGCTCAGTTTTCCCTGTAAAATTCAGGTCATAAGAGCAAGGACCTGTGTGCTTTAGGTCTGCGAGTTTGTCCTGAGCCTGACGGACAGGACTGTGCACAAGGAGGCGGTGCCCACCAGCGCCCGGCAGCAGCTCATCGCCACCTGGGTGAAGGCCAAGCAGCTGCTGCAGCAGCAGATTGGGCCACGGCTGGGCATGGACGAGCAGGTGCCCATACCCCAGGGTGCTAGCCAGCGTCTGGGAGTGCCCAGGGGCTTGGGGAGGCTCGTCCCATGTGCCCAGACCTGCGGGGCAGGCGCCTCCTGCTGAAATCTTCCCTTGTCTCCCGCCTGGGGCCTCGCCAACCTGGGCAGCGGTGTGCACGGGGAGCGCTCCCTCCTCCTGCAGGGCGGCGCTTGCCCTCCTGGAAAGTCTGTCCCCAGTGAGGTCACCGCCCCGGCCGGCCGCAGCATCCTCTCCTTAGTCCTGTGGCCTTATGTGGAGGTGCCCTCAGGCCGGAGGGAGCCCCCTGAGCTGGGAACCCGGGGCTGTGGGGGTGGGGCTGGCGGCCGAGCAGGGACCTGGAGCGGAGAGGGTCAGGGGTCCACAGCCTCTGCTCCCACAGATGTGGGTTCTGAGTTGGTGGGCAGTCAGAGCGGGCACCTGGGCTGCGGGAGTGCAGCCCCATCATGCCGGCCAGCCCAGCCGCCAGCCCTCCTGCCTGGAAAGGGATCTTGGAGAGACCCCGCAGCGGCTCTAGCGGTCGCCACTATGCTGATGTGTCCTGGCACGTCCGGGCACCCTGGGCTGACGACGCTCTCGCTCCCTTCCCCTAGAGTCCCAACGAGGACGTCAACTCAGTGACGCGGGTCCTCGTCGCTCTGGAGATGTACTCCAGCAATGGGCTGGGCCTCATGGACTTCACCGTGCCCCCCTTGGCCCAGGTATGCATCCCCCGACCTGAGGCCGCTCGTTGAAACCTGACACGGAGCCAGGGTCGGGGGGCCTTGCCTGAGGGGGCAGACTTGGCGCCCTGTGGAGCGACCCCATCCTCGTCACAGCGCTCAGCTGCGTCCCGCAGGGCACCTGAGTTTGATGCCACGTGGCAGCTTCCCCGTGTGCCTTCTCCGCGCTCACAGACGCCCCTTTTCCCCCCCGGAAGTTGGTGAAGATGGCTTCCGAGTGCAGCTGGTCGGACCCCCTGGTGGAGCTGCAGACCCTCATGCGGCTGACCCACTTTGCGCACGCAGCCCACGACTACGAGGTCACCATGCTCTGCTCTCAGAAGGCCATCCAGATGGGCATTCGGTACCTGAGGATGTGTAGCCCGTAAGTAGCCTCCTAGCACCGGACTCCTGGGGTCCCGATGATTCCCCAAAGGTCAGGAGGGGTACGTGAGGGGTTCATATCACATATTGTGTGCAGCACCGAGGAACAAGGCAGGCAGAGGTCACAGCGTGAGCGCCAGCCCCTCACCAGGCCCCGGCTCATCCCAGCCAGTTTCCCAGCCTCGCCCGTGCGTCCACGCTGCCTCCGCCTGCCAACTCTGCCAGCCAGGCCGGCCTCAGCGGCCATGGCCCCCGAGAGCTGTGTCCAGGGCCCCGAGGCCTCACCAGCCTCCCCGGCTGTGGCGGGACAGGCACGGAGGCGGAAAGGGGCTCCCGGATCGGCCGTCTGCCGTTCCCGAGGGACCCAGAGCTTTGATTCCGGGAACTGTGACGAGGCCACGTACATTCAGGGTCGCTGCCCGCTCCCCGCTCCCCACAGGCCACGGTGATGCTGGTGAGTGTGAGGCTGTTCCAAATCTGTGGCTGTTGTAAATGTTTCTGAGGTAAAGACAGCCTCCCTTGAGGTTCCTTTTCGGGTTATTTTCTGAAAACAACGAAATCACTGACCTGAGGGTATGAAGACGTTCGCGGCGGAAACAGCAGGTCTGGTTGTCCGAGGCCAGATCCCAGGTGTGCCTGCCAGCCCCGTGATGCCAGCCTCGGGCCGCGGCCCCGTCTCAGGCTGCAGCAGCGTGATTGGGAGCTGGGGGTGGTCCGTCTCTCACTCCGACTCCCGGGGACGAGGACGCCTCCGCCATGTCTCAGCGGCAGCTCCACAGCCTGCGTCAGACACGCCCGATGTGAGTTTGGGGGCCAACAGGCGAATGCCCCCTGAGGTGTCTTCACACCCCGACCTGCCCGTGGCCAGGGCCTCAGCACAGGGGCCGGCGGAGGCTGGTGCACCACGGGAACAGGGCACCCGAGGGGCTCTGCGGCATTGCCTCGTTCACTCCCAGGAGCCGCTGTCTGGTAGGCACCATGGCTCCCACTTTGCTGGGGGAAACTGAGGCAGGTAGAAGCCACACCACTGGCCTGAGGCCACCCTGCCGGCAGGTGCAGAGCTGGGACTGGGTCCAGGCGTCTGGTTCTACAAGCCCACGTTCCCAGAGACCACGGACACTGCCTCTCGGATGTGAGCATGGCACCCACTCTGTCAGCTGGAGCACGCCGGAAACTTCCAGAAGAGTCAGCCACGGTCCCTGTGAGTGCGCGTCCCCAAGTTTGGGCGCAGCACAGGGTCACGGGAGCCCCCAGGCCGTGGGGCAGTAGGAGAGGCCCCCCACCCACGGGGGGGCTCCGAGGGCCTGGGCCCAAGGAGTGAGGTCCGTTCCTGGAAAGTCTGGGAAAACCATCTGAATTGCACTAGGAACCCTCATATTTGGTTAGTTTACATAACTTCCTCCAGAGTCAGACATCATGGGGCAGCTCCCGTTCTGAGAGCCTACGTGAGCACCAGCTGCCCCGAGAACAGAAGACAGAGTCTCGCGCTTCAGCCGCCGACTTTCCGTTATACCCCTTCCCCCGGGTGACCGCAGCGTAGTGACCGGGCTGGAGTGGTGTGTGCCCACCAGGGCCCGCCCTCCTCAGACGGGACGCTCTAGTGCAGAGGCCTGGCATGGGGGAGTAGCAGGTCGAGGCAGGAGACCCAGCGTGAAGAGGGCCCACGGGGGCACAGGAAGCTCACTCCGGGGGCAGCCACGTGGCCGTAAAGCTGGGGGGCTGCAGGCACTGGCCCAACCTAGCGGATAGCAGAGCAGGTGACAAGGTGGCCCCACAGGGAAAGTCAGGGTGGACGCCTAGGACCCTGGGCTGCATGACCCGTCAAGACAGGGCCGCCCCGAGGGAGCCTGGAGCTCAGGGCTGCGCCTCTGAGGCCCAGCGGTCACCAGAAGCTGAGGCATAGGTCTCCAGAGTGCCCAAGCCGTGAACATCTGTTGGGATGAGGTGGAGCTGGATGAGGTTTCCCCACGAGAGCAGAGGAAAGGTGGGTGGGCAGAGGGAGAGGGCTCTTGGAAAGTGGTAGGAGCCGCAATCTACGGGCACGCGGTTGACTAAGCCCCCGAGGACCTGAGCGTTTGGGACATGTGCCTGCCAGCCTTGCCCACGATGCCCGTGCCCACCATCCCCCAGCCGTGGGGACGTCAGAAAGGCTCCCTGGGAAAGCAAAGGTGATGATGGGGCCTGTCGTTTCTCACCACCAGCACTGAGGGGCTTTCCATCATGAGTGACCCTTCCTCCAAAACAGTGTGGACGGGTTTTGGTGATGGTGTATTTGACGGTGCTGAGGCTAGACATTATTTTTTCTCAACAATCTGTAATAAGGGTAACTTTGCGACTTCCCACCCAGGCTTACCGTGCAGCGGGTGGGGACGGAGGGGCGGTCTCTGGCCAAGCAGCTCGAGGGCTGCAAGCAGGCTGCGTGCTGCTGGCCTCAGCCCACGCCGGCACCCGTGTGCTGAGACAGGATGTGCAGCAGCCCGGACAGAGCACCTGGCTGCTGCCGGAAGTCTGGCCCCGGGCAGAGCATCGGGGGTGCTCCACCCGCCACCAGCTCTCCGCCAACCAGCGTAAGGCTGTGCCCATCAGCAGATGGGCCGAAGCCATGTACCGAGAGCTCCCCAGCAGCATCTTAGCCACGCTCTTAAATAGGGAGAATTACTCTGATGCACGACTGCACAACGATCAGAGGACATCAAGAAAACCCCTCAACATATCTGGAAAGGTGCAGCATTTAAGAGGTAAAGCACAGTGTTGCCGTGGAAAAGGAATAATGAAGGACCGGAGATCTCTTGAGCAGAAATCTCGCAGGAAGTAGATGAAGAAGGACAGACGTACAGAAAGCGTGACAGAAGCCAGAAGACACATGGGACATTTAACTTTTGGAACTCCAGAAGGAGCAGAGAGTGCTCTTGAGAAAGAAGTTTGAGCGGGGGGTGATGAGGAGAGGCCCCAGGCGCATGGCCCACCTCGTGAGCGGCCCTGCCACCAACGAGCAGCAAGGGGAGCAAAGAGACCCTCACGTGCAGACCACGGGGACACGTCGAGTCACCACAGATGGAGGGTCCAACAAGGTCGCAGGAGACAGAAGTGCGACAGGCTTCTGAGAACCCATCACTGGAAGGGGAGGAAAAATGGAGCTTTCTAGGTGAAAATAATTTTGAGCCTAGAATTCTAATTCACCCAAACTATCAGTCAAGTTTATGGGTGTAGAAAGCCATTTTTAGATGGACAGAGACCTAGAATATATATGTCCCACACACCTGTTTTTAGAAAGTTCCTTGAAGGATAAGCTCTAGAAAAACAAGGGAATAAACCAAAAAAAGAGAAAAATGTGGGATGTTGGAAATAATAGATTCAACCCAGAAAAGTTGTCAAGCTGCGCTGCTAGCTGAGAGAGCCACCTGTCTAAACTGGAGCAGGATGGAGGAGGGCCTGGCGAGTTAAGGGCAGGGAAGACAGACGACCCAAGGTGTTGTGATAAAGGAAAATAATACAATGGAGAGAAAGCCAGTTGGAAACTCCAGAAGACACATTAAGTCATACACAGCTTGACTCCTCAGTGAAGAACATTCACGTTATCACGGTGTTCACTGATACTTTAGTTTTAGGATTAACATTTTGACAAAGGAAACCTCTTTGTGATTACTTAGCGAAAGCTAACTGTTACCAGTTTTGACAATACAAAAGTGAAAGTGCAGACGACACGCTTTAGTAGGGGAGGGGCGTGTCCAGAAGGGAGGAGAATGTGATAACGTCCTTGCCCGAGAAGGTGAGCAGTCAAGTGTCACCGGCTCAGGGTCCTCAAGACCTGGAGCTAGCATAGTATTTTCAGGTACAAAGATGATAAATAGGGGAATTAAAATAATGCTGTAAGCAGCCGTACTCGTAGGTTGGAGGGTCTGAGTAAGTTAAGCTTCCGTGGATCATCGTAAGAGCTCCCCCGGGGGACGTGTGAAGTCGGCACGTTGGGAATCAAGTGAGATGCCAGGGTTTTAGAGGCAAGCGCATGCCTGCTGGAGGACCGGGCTGAGTGTTTAGAAGTCATTCCCTCTGGGGAACAGCACCGGGAGCCAGGTGGGAGGTAGTTATTCCTGAGCACGTGCAGGCGCCACTTTGATAACAGTTCAGACGTTATCTTGAAAAGAGAAACTGCGAAGACACTGTTACAGAAGGAGGCGGTACTTGAGTGCTGCTGCGTGCGTCCTGTAGTCAGGCTAAAAGGTCCTTCGCTGCTGGCCGAAGGCCGGTCAGGAGGACGCGGCAGGTAAAGTACGTGTGCCCTGGCTTCGCCATTCTTCGTCAGTGATTCTTAAGTTGAGTTTTATTTTAGAATGATAAATCTCATACTAAGATAAAAATATAAATATATACATAGAGTAATAGGGAAATACAGGTTCTATAAAAATTTAATTTCCAATTTCCAGGCTGACTTTTGAAAGCATCTGTAGAACGTCGCTGTCCTCTAGTGGTCACCACTGTCACTGCACGTGGTGGAATTGCCCGTCTAGCCTGGCTTTGGCTGGGGTTCTCGCCCTTCATCCAACCACAGCGGGGTGCTAGCTGTGTCTAGGGACGCTACTCCATGCTAGGCGGCTGGAGAGACACACAGCAGTGGTCCTTGGCTCTGTAAGACATGCCACGCTTTGTAGTGATCTTGCTGGGCACTCAGAGCACTGGACCCTGTGCCCGGGCAAGCAGGGTACATGGTCACACTCAGCCACATGGCATGCACTGCAGATGATTCTTTTTTCTTTTAATTACACATATTACAAATTTTTGTGCTAATTTTTCCATTTTGCAAGTTATATGAAGAAACTCTAGTGTGGCATTGGTCACACAGTAATTTTATAATAGCACTTCATATTAAATGGTAAAAATAATTTTTAGTTCTTAGTGAAAAATAATACAGTTACTAATCAATAAGTATTTTCACCTTTGAGTGTTTAATTACCAGAATAATTTTCACATTCACACTATCAATGTAAAGGAATATACATTAATAAGAAATTTCATGTGGATCCCTAAAATAGACACAAAATAGGTTAAAAGGAAGTAGTCTACGAATATTTGGGACATTTCTACTTTGTTCAACATTTTTATTTAACATAATCATCAGTGTTGGGTCTTTATACAAATTTGAAAGTTCCTTTTCTACATTTCTGGCCATGATACAGTAACGGATAATATACTCTTGTTCTGCGGAAAAAAAAAAAAACCAAAACTGTAAAGCTCAACAAAATACATGAAATAATCATTTTCAGGCATTGGACAACAGATGGTCCAAAGCGGAAATTTTTGCAAGAAGGGAACATCAAAAGTGGGCTGTCTCCACATTCACCCTTACTTTCTTCCAGGTGGGGTTGGAGGACTGTTCAAACACCAGCACTGGGGAGTGGAGGCCAGACAGAAAACATACTGGGGTAAAAAAGGGATCCATGCTGGGGGCTGCTGAGGCAGCTGACATTTACAGGATATGATGTGAGAGAGGAGGTTACTGTACAGAGCGTGTGTGCTCACAGGCACTGAGGTGTGGTCTCTAAGCTAAAAAGAGATGGTGGAATTGACCAACAAGAGTCAGGGAGGCTTCATGGAACTTGCCAGGCATTCAAAAAGATCACACCTTAGGAATAGGGCTATAAGGGCTACCGTAGACTTGCCCTAAAAAGCCTCATTCCAATCTTGATAAGATAAGCTGAGCCACCAGTAAATTAACTGCCTGTCAGAACAAAACCCAACCTTCTTTTAAAGGAAGGCAACATCATCCACACTCCCAACAGTATACTCTCAACAATAGAGCCCTTACAGTGTCCAGCGTTAAGATAAAAAATTACTAGACACATGGGAAAACAAGAAAATGTTCTCCCATGCAAGGAGAAAACACAGTCAATAGAATAGAAACAGTTGGATGCCTGCATGGCTCAGTGGGTTAAGCATCTGCTTTTGGCTCAGGTCGTGATCCCGGGGTGCCGGGATCAAGCCCCAAATTGGGGGGGGGGCTTGTCTGTCTCTCTCTGCCCCTCTCCCCCGTTCCTGCTCACACTTTCTCTCTCTCTCTCTGAAATAAAAATAAATAAATCTTTAAAAAAATAGAATAGAAACTGTCAACAGACCCATATATGACACAAATTTTGGAATTAGACAACAAATTTAAAATCTAAATTAAAACAACTATTCTAAATACAAGAATATATTTTTAGTGGAAAAACTAGTATACAGGGCGCCTGGGTGGCTCAGTTC